TCATTCTTTCAAAGAAAATTAATGTAAAGAGATTAATCTGTGGAATTAACACGCTAATTTTAACGCATTAATGATGAACAACAGAGTTATTACTGATGAGGTATTAATGATTCTAACTGGGGGGTCACGAACACAGACTCATGCTGTCTTGGGGGTCGTGGCTCCAACAGTTTGAGAACCTCTGGTCCAGACCACCGATGCTCATTGCTGAGAAACATCAGATGTTTGCGGTCGTGTGTTTATTCAACACAGTGATGCGAGAAGTCGGCGCTGTTTAATCACAGCTGAAGCTTCTGCTGATGAAGTGTGTCTGTGGAGGGAACTGCCAGATCTCCAGACGGTTTCACTGCTGGTTGGATTATTCTGTTAAAAGGAAACGTGCACTCCGTCAGACTGACCGTGCACACCAACACGTTGTGGTCTAATTATGACACGGTGCCAGACACGGTATGACATGGAGGACGTGTAGACCCACTAGATCACTGAACATGACTCTGGTGCTGCTGCTTGACTAAACACATCCTAGGAAGCTGATTGGTAGATCAGGAAAACAACCATCTATTGGGTCCGACCGGCTTTTCTATGCATGTCCCGGGAGAACCAGTGGTGTTTAAAACCAATGTTTTGCATGTGAGCACGAGGAGGTTCTTGGGCGTCCACGCCTTTATGATTCTTCACTAACAGAACCGAAGTAGTTGACTTTAAAGGTGCTTGGAGCCCAGACACGGTGGGAGGTTTCCAGAAGTCCTACGCCCTGCCCGCTAGCGGCGCTTGGCTTCAGGTCTAATCCCCGGTATGCTGCTCCGGCCCAGTATATGCTACATCCTGTAAAAACGCCTCGTGTGTTTGTCTGTGTTCAGCGACTGACTCTCCCACTGGAGCCTCAGACACCCACAGTTTACCGTGGCTTTATCTGAATGTGCTAAGCTCATGTACATACCGCTATGCTAGCTCTCTGCCAGGCTGTGTTAGATCTGGTTCAGGCCACGGGGACACGAGTGTCGTTTATAACGTCTAAACATGTCAGTGTGAAGACTGCACACCATGCTTGTAGAGTTACTGTCTTTTGTTCTGAACATGTCATTATGGGATGTGTGGGATCGTGCTGAATGTGCACCACTGGCTAGCAGACGTTACTGTGGAAGCATGTTTTTCTTCTGGGGTTAGGCTTGTGGGGGGTTGTACCTGCTGTTGGTGGGTTTTAAATGCAATTAATTCACTGTTGTTGCATAATGTCGCCTTTTTCTTCCATTCTGAGAGAAAAACGCAGCGAGCCCAGTCGACCACAGGAACCAGACCTGGAAGCTTTCACAAATTTTAAAGGAGACGCCGAGAACAAAGGTTCTGCTGAACCTAAAGCGAGCGTGGGGGAAAAAGGAAGCCTTCATGGAAAACTGAATCTTGTTGATTTGTAATAGTATATTTCTGCTTCTCACCTCAGCCTCACGGTGCACACTGACAGTAGTTCGCACCGTGCTGCTACCCTTAGTTCGGAGCCCCGTGCAGAACTCTCCATCGCCAGCAGCACCAGAGGGAACCGCTTCGTATTCGGACCTGTGGCTAGTGCTGCGGCAGCAACGACCCTGCTGCTGGCTCAGATCGAGAGTCAGAGCCGGATCGCTCTCCAGCAGCTTGCGACTCTCGCGACCATCGCTGTTGGCAGCAGCGGGTTTGCAGCAGCGTTGCCGCCTCACCTGGCCCTCCTTAGTCTCCTCAACAGACAGCAGGTCTCGGCTGTGGGCTTCAACACGAACAGTAAAACCTACAGAACCACAAGGACGCGTCTGTCTGCTGCCATGTATCACCAACACTCTCAGCAGCAGGGATCGCAGCCTTTTCCTAACGGACCTCGGCCTCCTCTCCATCAGCCGCCTCCCAACCAGCATCAGAATCATGCTAACATGCAGGTGATGAGTTTCCCTTTTCCTCGTCCCACCCAGCTTCCTGATGAGCTGGAGTCTGCCCTGGCTATCCGCGGCGCCAGGGACATGGACCATCGCCAAATGGACCACTTGAATCGACCCAACCTGCACCAAAACCAGGGCTCAAGTTCTGGGATCAGTCAGCACGGAAGCTACGGCTCTAACACGGTGTCGCTTCCTGCTGACAGTCAGCCTGGTCACCAGCAGGGAGTGGACTGGTCAAGCTACCAGCCTCCAACTAAACTGTTTGCCGGTCCTGCACCTAATGCAAGCCACCAGGGGCAACAACAGCCGCCCCAGGGCAGCCAAGTAGGAGCAAGAGTTCCCACCTGGACTCCCCCCGTCAGTGACTCATTGTCTCCCCAAGCTCGGCACCCCCAAGGCGGCGGTGGGGACGGTCAGGGCTTGTACACACCAGAGAGTGCAGGAAGCATCTTGGCAAGCTTTGGACTTTCAAATGAGGACTTGGAGGTGCTGAGTCACTACCCCGATGACCAGCTCACCCCAGATACTTTGCCGTTCATACTCCGTGACATCCAGATCAACAAATCAGGCAACCAGAAAACCGTGGCTTCTGTTTCCTCGTCCTCGTTTCCACGTGGCGTCCGTGACATCCCGCCGCTGCCTGCTGCCCACTCTGCTCCTCTGGCACATCCAGGCTCCACGGAAGTGCCCAGCCTTCTCACCGTTACACAGACCGCAGGCAAAGTCATCGACTACGGCCACGCCAGTCGGGCAAAGGACGAGAGCGGCACCAGAGAGACTTTCAAAAGAGAGCCGCTCTCCAGTGAAAGGACAGTTAAAATGTACGCGGTGGCGTCGGCGGCGCCCTCATCGGCTCCGAAACCGGATAAAAGCGAAAGGAGACAAGTTCATCTGGAGCACACTGAATCCAGCAAGCATGGAGACAGGGACTACCGCAGGACGAGCGGCGACCAGCGCAAGAGCAGTCGCTCACCGGGGAGAGAATTTCCATCGTCGCCGACGTCTCGCAATCTGGACAGAGACTACAGGCGGGACCGATCCAAACTCAGGCCCTCGTCTGAAGCCAGGAGCGAGGCTTCCTCCAGACGCTCTCTCTCGTCTTCATCTGGCTCAAAGCCTCACAACAGCAGCAAGAAGTTACCCACCCCCACCATGATAAGTGATTTCTCAGCTGTGTCTCCAAAGGTGTATCCTCATACCTGCTCCCTGTGCCACACACAGTGTGATCAGGAAAAGGTGAGTGTTGACCTGCCTGCTGTCCCACCGTTTCCTCAAAGAGTATGTTTGAATATTACATGTTCGTCTGCCACATGCCTTCACCAGGCGGCTGTCAGGATGAGATCCTGACGTCTCTGCCTCGTTAGCATGTCCCATTAGCAGTAGAACAGCAGAGGCTACACGTAGAGATTGGAACCAGCCAAAGCCATGATCCTGAATGCTAGATGCTAATGGTGCTAGCATGCTCTGCTGTCTTTGAACGCATCGAGCAGGTGGTTGAGTCTCAGGTTGTACGTGAGCTACACACAGCGTCACCGAGCTGGCTGAACGCTGTGTCCATCGTTTCACAGAGGACAGTTTGACTTGTCACAGCAGGAGAATATGGAGCAGTGAGAGCACCAAGTTACAAAAATAAATCCATAAAAGAAGAATAAAGTAAAACTGAAAATAAAAAGGAGAATAAATAAAATGAAAAGTTAACAATGTGGCAATATTAATAAAAAATGAATCCATAAAAGAAAAGCCTAATAAAAGTAGAAATATAAATACAATAATAATAATAATTTATTATTGTTTATTTATTTTTGTGTTTATTATTATTTTTAAAACTTTTTAATTTTGTTTATTTTCTTTTTTTTTTTACAACATTCCTACTGCACACATTTTTCTGAGCATATTTCTTTACCTTTGAAAATAAATTTTAAAATAAAAATGAAAGAATAATTTTTAAAAAATGTATAAAAAATATTTAAATAAAAACAATCATAATTTAAATTATTTTATTTTTTGTCTTTATTTATTAGCTTTTTCTTTTATGGATTAATTTTTGATTAATATTGCTTTATACTGCCACATTATTAATCTTTTATTTATTCTTCTTGTTATTTCCGCTCTTACTTTATGATTCTTTTATTCATGTGTTTGTGTGATTTGGGACCTTCACTACTCCACAGGAAACGCATAAGTAAACATGACGACATTAGTGCTGCCTCATCCAGGTGTACACGAGGCTACGACAGATGCAGAACCTGCCTCAGTGCCATCCAGGTGTACACGAGGCTACGACAGATGCAGAACCTCTCTCTGTTTCTGCTGTGACATGTCAGAAGATGGCAGTGATAAAAACACTCGACTTATTCTGATGTGTTTCTCCGTCTTGATAGTATAAATTGTCACATGAAGAGCAGATATGACGAGGGCGCCGTTTATCTGATTGGCAGGTGTTTTGGCCATCAGGTGCTGGTTGCAGTGTAATTACAACCCGAGCCCTTATGCTGACCTCGGCGAGCTCCAGAACCAGAGAGAGAAGCGTGTCGGCAGACTTTCATGTTGCGTGAAGCCACCTTGAATACATCCAGTGTTCCTCATCACACTTTTTGTTCCTGTGAAATGTACACTGTTAGTCTAGTATTTTTTATTTACAGACAATTACGGATATTTAATAAACTTGCAAAGTAGGCATACAGTTAGAGCTCCTTTTTCTCTTTTCCTCCACTGTTCTCCTCCTGAACGCTGTCTGGGTTTCTACCGGGTCACGATTTGCCCCAACATGTCGCCTGATCATGTCAGACTGACAGAAAGTTGGTGTTTAAGACATGGAAGCTATCTGTTTTCATTTTACTGTAAATAGTTAATTTAAACGGTTAGAATAAACTGAGCAGAAGTATTACTGACAGTTCTCACTCCTGAATAAAGTCATGCTCCCCCAAACAGCCGATACGCTGGTCTCTCGCTTTGCATCGGGGTTTCTCGTGTCCTGAGACGGTGCTGATTGACTATACATCAGGATAACTAAGGCTTCACACTGCCACGGTTTGCCTGTAATCCTAGTTTTTGGAACTAGACTTAACTCTGTCATCGAGTGTCCAGCTTTCTGCCAAGTAGCTGAAGAGCCTGTGTGTTCAGACAGAAGGAGACAAAGTCATTTCTTTCCTCTTACATTTTCTCATTAAAAGAGTCGTATCTCCCTACATTAAGGTTTTTATTATTATTATTTATGAATAAGTAGCCACTCATTGTATTCTGTGATCCAGCTGAATGTGTCTGTAAAAGGTCTTTAGTGTCCCACTCTGTACCTCTCGGCTTATCTGAACTATTTCTTTATTCAATGCATTCTTTTCATTTTTATCTAAATTGTCAAACATCTGCAGACGTGTCACACGGCGTAGGAAAAGAATTAAGCAAGTACTGGTGTAATAAATGACTGACCCTCCGACAACCTCGGAAAACAGACGACGAGCTTTTGTTTATGGTGAAGACTGATAATCTCACTAACGAGAAGTGAAATGAACATCTCACACATCATCTGAGCAACACTAAGCTCTGTGTCATGTTCTTCTAGCCGGGCCTGAACTCTGAATGAAAGTCTTCCAGCATGTGGCTGCTCCGGCTCTACGGGTCATGTGAACTTTCTAACCTGTCGTAGAGGTTCGAGGGAAATGGGTCGGACAGAACAGCTCGTGAACAGCGTTTATCGTTGGCTTCTGCCTTTTCAAAGATACCAAAGATATGAAGCTCATGTCATACGTTGAGTCACCTGGCACATTCCTTTTGCTCACCGTAGTGCCTTTTACTTCCTGTATGGGCTCGTCTGTTATTCCAGGTGATTTCAGGGGAGGTGGAAAGACCATCGCGAGATTTGGAGGTTTCTGCCATCGACATTCTTTAGAGCAGGGATCTCCAGCTCTGGTCCTGGTGAGCTACTGTCCTGCAGGTTCTAGACGTTACTGCAACACACCTGACTCACATGAATGGATCTCCAGCAGCTCAAGTTCTACACAAGTCTCTAATGATCCATTAATGTGAGTCAGGTGTGTTGCAGTAACGTCTAGAACCTGCAGGACAGGAGCTCACCAGGACCAGAGCTGGAGATCCCTGCTCTAAAGCATAAAGTGTTCTCCCCAGCAGCAGAGTGGTGAGCTTGGTGACACCACCTCAGGACATCCTGTAGTCTGTCTGCATCCATGTCTTCCACTTGATGTAGATTAATCGTAGCAGCTGGACCTGCTTGGGTTCCTTGAAGACGTTCCACCTCTCATCCAGGCTTCATCAGTTCTGACTGACTGGTTGGGAGTTTGGAGCCATTAACACCTGAGTTTGGGCTTCAGTTGGGGCGTTGTTGCTCCTCCCCCTCCAGGTGTTAATGGCTCCTTCAGGATATCTGGAGCTCCCAACCAGTCAATCAGAGCTGATGAAGCCTCTTGGATGAAGGTGGAACGTCTTCAAGGAACTCAAGCAGGTCCAGCTGCTACAATTAACCTACGAGAAGAACCATGACCTGGAGGACTGAGGATCTTCACAGACACGTCCACTTGACGTAGCTCCCCGTCTGCTGTACTCTGGTTCTGACGCTTGCAGTCGAGCGTTAAATTGAAATGAGCTGCAGTCACCTTCGTATCGACCCACTGGGCAAACATCCACCAGTCACCTGCTGAGTCTGTCAAAAGACAGCGTGACCACAGTGAAAGTTAGTCCTGCACATGTAAACCAACCGATCTCCTTCAAGTAAACTAGCCGGTCCAGATGTTCACCTTTTGTCGTACCAGAGTTATAAAGTGCATCCTGAGGAAAGCCACGAGGAGCTTAACTGCCGTGATAGTAAACGCTGATCACCAGCTGTTCTCTGTGACTCCTTCTTTTGACATTTCAATGTTTTATTTACTTATTAAATGTGCCCAGTAGAAATAAACTGGACTTATTCTCTAAGGGCGTACACGCTATGTTTAACCCTGACAGAGTCTCTGTGCTTCCACTAGTTCTGTGACTAATGAATGCTATACGCTGCTCACCTTGTTTATGTCCATGCTATCTGGTGAGGATCTGACTGTGACACTTTGCTCTCCCGTTTGTGTGTTTCCTTTGTGTCTTTTCCAGGACTGGGTTGACCACGTTAACACCGTCAACCACACCGCCGCCTGCAGAGACCTGCGCAACAAGTGAGGACATTTAGCTCTGCTGCTGAGACAGTAGACGTTTGGTGGAGACGCTGCTTTGGTTTATTCAGTGCTCATGACGAACTCGAGCTCGACCGATGCTGGATGTTTGGGGCTGATCCTGATCTTAGGGAGTATAAACGTCTGTTGTTGACATAGCAGCTGGTATTCTTTATGTTGCAGTAAAAAGTGAAAACAACTCTCCAGCCAGGTGCTGCACAAACTAGTCGCTACCTGCCGTGAAAACGTTTGACTGCGAGCCGATATTAGCTCAGTGGAGATACGCTCTCTGCTACATGTGCAGCGAACAGCGTCGGGATTATTGTGTTCGACTGGACAAACTACACGATGACAACATTTCTAAAGTCCAGCCGTGACTCGATGATCCAACACTAAATGTAAAACCTTCTTTATGTCGGATATCAAGGCTGTGGGATTGTCCAGACGGAGGTCCAGATACGAGGAGGGCTTGATGCTGGAAGGCTCATTAGTTGTTCATTATTGTTCATAGTTGTTATAATAACTAGTGTGTTGTTAGAACACGACGCATCTCTGGACTTCAGCTCGCAGCGCTCTGACGGGGTGGAAGTGTCCAGAACACACAGGCAGTACTTGGCTGCTGATGCTAGTTTAGTTAGCGCTCACACTTCTGTTTCCTCCATCGGGGGCGGCGGGGGAGTGGCAGATACGCTCCACCGTTACCATCCATGTTTACTTCCATAAACACTGAGCACGCTCGCTGCGTGTGAC